TATGAATGAATGTATGTTATGTTATACTTAAGCTGACAAAATAAACAAGGAGAAGTAAACTGGAGAGGAAATAAACGTCTCGACACAGATACTCAGCCAATATTCACAAGATAGAAGCATCACTGGGGTGAATGGGAAGCCACATCTGGGACCACGATCTTGCACCAAGACTTCAAACTTCTCTGGGGAAAAGAGAGGACTCCACTTGGGGATATTATATCATGATTTCACTTAAGGGATTGTCAAGATGAATCTCGCTGCTCTGTTGGGATGAGAAAGATTCACTGGGAAAGGATCAAATTCATGATCGAAAAAACTTCATAGGGGATAAAATAAACATCCACTGCAAACTGAAGTAGACTGAAAGGAAGTCATTATCGGAGATGCCAGAGTTGAGGCCTCACAGAGGATAAAATAAATATCCATTTCTTTAGGGGAACTCTGATCAAAGTTGTAGCTACAAATATTAGAGTTGAGACTCTATAGGGATGAAATAAACATCCACTTTTCTGGGGAAGATTGAAGTTGTAAGAAGTCTGTTGAGGAGTGAAATAACATTCACTTCACAGGGAAGGTTAAAGCCAAGAAAATTCACTGGCGGATGCTTAGGTTACAAATAGGGGAAATCTTGCACCAGACATGCCATAACTGCTTGGAGTGGAGATTCACTAGGGATTTATCATGACTATCTGTGGTAGAGACTTAATGGGGAATCATCACACTACTTGAGACAGGTGCTTTTTAGGGGTATGGGTGAAGAATGCTACGAGAACAAAATAGCTATGCATTGATGAACTGCGTGGTGGTTGCCATTTCGAACAACATTTGTTGTGAATGGATAAAATAATCTTCAATTCTCAAATGCCCCAAGATCACATAGGTTTATGAGAATAAAGTCATTCCAAGAGGATTTTCCAAAAAACCTATAATCCAAGATGTCCCAATATCTTCCAACTCTTTGAGAGATTTATCAAATCTTGACGTAACTGCCCCAAATTGACTGCATTCGGTATAGCTGAAACTTCAAACTTGCCCCTTAGGGATGGTTAGTCTGTGAAAGCAACAACTGGGAAACAAACTTGCCCTTGGTCAGCATAGTCTTCAGGCAACATGCCCCTGGATATGATCATTCTTGGAATGTTTCTCCCTTTTTTTATCAGAGTTTCAAGTCTCAAAAGATTAAGTTCATCATTGTTGTTCGTATGCAAGCTTCTATGATGCCAATAAATGTTAGCAAGAAAAAAAAATGTTAATTCTAAAACTGCTAAAGCAACACACATGCTTGTCTTGAATTTTTTTTAATTTATTGAAAAGATATCACAATAACTTGTGACTGAATCACTAGTTAGGATAGGAAATTAATTAATTTTACAAAGCCAACACAACTTTTAAGCTTAACTCATAGGAGTCAGGAAAAGTTATCTCGTCGAGTACGCTTTCAAAATAAACCATGCTTCAATTAAGTCTTTTGAGGGTTGTATCGTGGTTTGGTTCACGACTTAAGAAACAAAGAATATAAGGCTCAAAGTTTATTTGTGCCCACCCGTTCTTCGCGATGTTCTCCAATCCTACATTCAGTTAACCTGACACGAGCACTCATCTCTCAAGAGGAGTTTTGATATGGTTGAGAAACCACTGAGGCTTTGGACATGACAGCCACTCACCTTTTTTCTTTTGGTGTTTGATCACATGACTTTGTTATTTATTGAGGATTTTTCTTGGTGATCATTTGTTTTTGCTTTTCGTGTTTCCTTTTATTATTATTTTGTTTTTATTCCCTAACTTTTGCTTGGATGGAGTCTTTGGATTTGACTTTGAAGTCCAGCGAGATGCCTCAATTTTGCTTAAGTCTCCTTCATAGATTTTGACTTAGCGGACTTTTCTTTTTTAATTTTTTATTTATTTATGAACAAGTCGCGTGACTCTAAGTTATGTTGACCCTTTTAAAAGGATTGTGACTGCCTCGCTCTTTAGATAGTCGAGGGATAATCATTGTGGTTTTTAAACTTCCAGCCTCCTAATATGTGAGGAATAGATAAAATGGATTCTTGAATATTCACTCCTCCTTTTTAAGAGTCTAGACGCTCGATCAGTTTAACTGAAAACTACACTGCCCTAGGTAAAAATTGAGGGTTTTTTATATGTAAGGAAAAGAAAACTCCTACTTTAAGACTCAAAGGGGTTAACAAGGGTTTATCTCCCTTATATCTCCAGTGTTTGAGGATTTAAAACAATACATTACATCATCAATCAGGTTTTATTCAAAAGCATACAACCAGAGATCTTGCGTTTTTGATTTCGTCATCCTCCTCCCAATTCTCTGTCAAAGCAATAGATTGAGTAAAGTTGGCACTATAAAACATGAAAAAACATTTTATGAGTGAATACGAATTAATTTCTTCATGGCAAACATATTTATTGCATTAATCATTCAAAACAAACAAGTTCTTACATGCAAATCATGCTTTTATAATCAAAGAAATAATAACAAATGCAAGCAAACAAACAAACAACCTGATGATCTTGGGAATGGGTTCTCCTCCTGATTTCACCGACTTGAAAAGACTCTCTCGAGTCTTCATATCCATAAACATAAAGGTGTTCCATTCACAGCTGAGCTTCCTCCCTTAAAAGTCAACACCTCATCATCGATCATCTATTGGATTTTTCCTTAGAAAATCTTGCACTCTTCAATCGAATGCCCCATTGCTTCATCATGAAATGCATAACTAGTATGTGGGTTGAACCAAAAGGGTGAAATTTCATGGCTCTGGTCTTTCTGGGTGCCATTACCGAGTCTCGGATAAAATAGGATCACAATTGACTGTAAGTCATTAGAATTGGGTCAAACTTCTTTTAATAATAAATTTGATGTGTTCTCTGACGAAGCTGTGATTGACAGTTTGGAATTACCTGAACAACTGGAACAACATCAACATGAACTTTGTTTCCATCTTCCAGTATGGTAGCATCGTATCCACAAGGCACAGGAGATGATTTCTTACTGTTGCAAGTAATCACCACTGGCTCTGGCATATTAAAGCGCGGAGCTATGATAATCCTCCTTTCTCTAGTGATATGAAGAAATTTTTGATCCAACATATCCTGAAGATCCATCTTCACAACAAAACATCCACCATAATTTCTTGAATAAATTTGGCAAGAAACATGATTATGCTCATAGCGGGTAAGCCTACATAAGTTGACGTGCATATCCACCAAAGATTCTCTTATTGAATTCACGCCAGAGATATGATATTCTCTGAGATATCCTTCCACAATGTTTCCATACTTGGGTGACAAACTTGTTGAGACATTGGGTCCATAATCTTCAAAAGACAAAATACGGCTTTGCTAACTTTTGTACTTCAGCTTTCAAAGCGAAACAATGTTCAATATCATGACGGGGTGCCCCTTGATAAAATGGAAAAAACGACCATACTTAAACCACCATGGGAGATTTTTTGGGATGGCTGACGGAGTCCTTGTTTGCACCAAATTCTTCTATACTAAAGCATAATATAATTCAGAATTGGCCATCGAGATCGGGTCAAACTTATCCACGTGTTGTTTACTTTTGCTACGAGATCCTCCTTATTTCTCTCGTGAAATAGCATTAACAACTTGTTCCTTCTTCTTGGGCAAACCTTTCACGAGCTTTCTAGAATTGTTAGAAGCACCAATAAGAGCTACATAAATAGGTATTGACATGATTTCAAAAATCACAGTTTTTTGAAGCAGAGTCTGAGAAATATGAGGAGAAAATTGACTTTGAGTAGCAACAAGTTATGTATTAAATTTTTACTTTAACATATTACATTAGATTTTTATTTTTGAACCTACAAAGTTAATATAATAATGCTCAAATCAATAAATAAATATAATGTAGTCTTAAGAGTGAGAATAAATTGATTTTTTGGAATGACATACAATGATTTTATATAACATGGACGGTTGAAACGTCCATGTATGGTTTGGTGATTTACGACATATGTGGTTCGATTATATCCAACTACGAAAAATATGATAGAAGTCGAAATTATATTTCTTCAACTAGAATGAGGGTCCACCGTACATCTTTCTATGCGATGCTTGTATTGAGCATTTCATCACGAGTCTTTAGAATACTTAAAAATGTTATATAAATTTTAATAAATCATTAATATTTATATTATTTATTACAAAAGTATTTGAGCAACAAAATTATTTTTTTGATAAATTATAAGAGTAATTTTCATATCATATAAATATAAATGATTGAAGATTAAAATATAGTCAAAATTATAATTTATTTAAAATATATATAATTTAAAAATAATTTAAAATTTATGTAATTCTTTAAAATTTATAATAAAAAACTAAAAAGTTTAAAATAATATTTTAAAAATAATTATTTAGATTAATTTTTTATTATAATTTTTTTAAAATTCTTTAAAAAAAAATATATATTATTATTTAAAAAAAAACTGAATCAAATTCAAACGGCTTATATATTCATTTTTGTTAATTTCGTTTTTAAGTGTATACTTTCTTACCAATAAAAATGGATTTATCCGATTAAATTCACACAATCAGAAAAGATTTAGGTAAAAAACAAATACAAACATAAAAATACAAAATTTCAATTTGGAAAAGAAAAAAGAAAAGCACACAACAATCTGTTAAACGACAAGTCGTTTAAACATTGGAAATTCAGGAGAAAGAGAAGAAGAAACCGCAACTCCTCTTCCTCCGATGTATTTACTGTTAGGGCTAACTCACCTATAGATCGCACTCTACACGGTATCGTGCTCGAATTTTGTTTTTAGGGTTTTGGAGGGTATGTTCATGATCTTTGATGGTTTAGGAAACAATTGATTTTGAGTTTGATATTAGAGACTCAGTGATCTTGATTTGTGTATTTTGGGTTAAAGATCTTGATTTGGTGTGCATGCTAATTATAATTGGAAATTTTTGTTTTCAACAGGTGCTTGATAGTTGTAGATTGTATTGTGAACAGTATGGTGAGTTTTGTTTAATTGGGTTTTTGAGTTTTGGGTATGTATTTGGTTTTTATCAATTCTGACCTTGATTCACTTGATTTGGTTGTGTTTGTGAAATCATAGAATTATCTTCTTGGAGCTTTCAAGCCTGCATGCAATGTCCTGATCTCATTTACTGATGGAAAAAACCGTAAGCAGGTGAGCCTCTGGTTAATTTTATTTCAATCATGAAATTGCAGTTTATACTCGCATCATATTGTGGCAATGGCATTTTGTATTGTTGTTAATGTTGAGGTTGATGGCAGTAGTGAGAGTTCAATGAGAGTGTTGGAAAGAGAGTTTAATTAATGTTCCATTTTGCAAGCAGAATAAGAGCTCATAGTATTATATAGTTCATTACATATTGAGATCATGATTGCTTTAATTTCTCTTTCTGTAAGTTGCACTCATTTTGCATAGTAACATCTGCTTTGGTCTTTTACTCAAGCAAGTAGTTCATTTTTCCTCTCTCGTTGTTATTAGACTCAAATGGGTTTGATCATTTCCGCTCTCGATTGATGCTTCCATTGTAATATACAGTCTTTGTTGAACTTAGCAGAGTTTTATTCTTTCATAGTAAGTTTTGTTTTGTTTTGTTTGATAAGTTTTGTTTTGTTTGAAAAGACCTATCAAGTGTGTTTCTCATTCTGTCGCTGTTTACCAAAGTTTCGTGACTAGAAACTATGTTGGCGTGCCTCCATGTATCGCTACTGTTTTCTGTTTCAACCTTCTTGTGAAAGCCACACACTGCCCTTCCACTGTCAGAACCTCCTTGCGCCTCTGCCAAAATACTCGTCGGTATCTCCTGTACCTATTTTTGGTCTCATCTCATTTCTTACTAGTTTGAACAATCACTCTTAGTGCCTAGACTCTACTTCAATGCTTTTCCGTTTCAGCCTTCATTATCAACTTAATGGAAGCAATTGATAGATCTGAATAGAATCAGAAAACTCTCATTTCATTTTCTTTTTCAAGAATTTCATCTACTTACCTCTGAAAAGTTTAATGGCACAAATTACTTGGACATGTGCTTTACTGTCGAAGTCTGGTTTCTTGGTCCGGGACTTATGATAGTTTTATAACCCAAGTTGAAATAGTCAACAATTCATTTAAAGGATGAATAGAAAAATACTGATTATCAATTAGCATCCTTACTTTGGCCATCAATTGACCTGTCGCTTCTAGTTCATTTTCAGTCCTATATTTCTTGTTAAGAGATTTGAAAGAAGGCTTAGAGTGTTTATGTTATTGACATACAGAATTGCTATGATTCTGTCCATAGTTTGACAACGCTTCTAATGGAAGACTATGAATTCATCTCCTATTTAAACAAAGCTTAGTGAACTATTTAAAAGACGATTTTAACCAATAGCGATCCTCAAAAGTTGATAGAGAAGATAGATCAAATGTGCATATTTTTGCTCTAATGGCATACTTAAAGGATTTTGAAACTGTCCGAAATCAAGTTCTAACCAATCCCAACATTCCTACCATTGAGGAACCAATTGCCCATTTATTTTGATTTCCTTTGACCAGTGTTTGTAGCAAAGTATCGAGCTATGACTCTTACTACATGTGAACTCTTAATGTTTAAACTACACATTGAAGAGTATAAATTTGATTAGATTGAAACTATTGAGACATTGCATCCAATCCAACTTCCATGAACAAATTAAGCTCATAGAGATTGGTTGCCATTTTATTTGTGAGAAGACTTCTTAAGTTCTCACATTCTTTGTCAACTCAAATGATCAGTAGACAGATTCCCTCACCGGAGCTCTTTGGGAATCGAGGATTTCTTATATCTATAACAAGCTGGATAGTTTGTGGTCTCCAATTTTGAGGGGAAGTTTTGGAAAATGGAAATACAATATAATTGATGTTTGACTAGTACTTTCCAAGTACCATACTACCATTAGAATTCCTTGTATCACATTGTTTATAGAGATATGTTGCACCTTTAGAAAATTATAACTGTTGTATTAATCCTGTATATAAATATCATATTGCTGACTATCTTCTTCTCTTAAACATATTCAGAATTTCCTATTTCACCCTGTCCTCACTTTTCCCTTGCAAGCAGGGAAATTTTAACAATATTTGATATTTATCTTTGCATTTTTAATGATCTTGAATCTTTCACTAGCTATAATTTTAGTGACTTGTTGATCGGTTTCGTTGACATTCTTTTTGTCATTTTCAAGGTTCCATTTAAAAAAGAAAATGGCCAGTCAGTTACAGTCCCTCTTTTCCACAGTCAAGAAAACATTGCTGGAAAGGTATATTAGCTGTTTATCTCAAATTTTATTCAATTTATCTTACACCCATGCTGTTATTGTTGCAATAGCTTTTTATATATTGTTCAGCGAGCCTTACTATGTTTACTATTTATGTATTTGCTGCCATGTTTAGATTACAATAGAACCAATGCAAGGGAAGAAGATTGATCACAATGGCATAAAAGTTGAGCTCCTTGGACAAATAGGTTTGTACTTGAGTAATCCTTCCACTTTTCAGTTTTTTTGTTTCTTTGCATTGAGTATGTATACTGCTTCAAGGGTTTTATTCATAATTTCTTTTTAAGATTACTATATCAGCAAGATATTCCAACTTGATTCTCTACTTATATTTGTCAGATGTAATGGTTGGCTGGATTGTTGTTTTTTCTGCTTAGTTCATTTGACTTGGGATAAAGCATAAAATGATTCACATCTCTGTAAAACATCATTGAATTATTACAATATTGAAAGCTTTCAGTCCTAGTCTTTGAACATTCGAATTTACATTTAATCATGAATCACTTCTTATAGATAGGAGAAAGATGGGTTACCTTACTGTGAGGTTGCCATTTAACTTCTGTCAACCGTATAAAAAATGTTTTCATTCACTTTCCCCACCCCCCTTTCCTCCTTGATGAACTGTAGCTGAACTGTTACATTATTCTTAGGTAATGACCAGGAAAGGAAATATATTTCCCATTTATGTTTTGTAATAAATATGTAGTTGTTATTCGACTTTTGCTCTGAACTTTTTCTATTGTATACAATTTTCTTCATGTTTTGCTTATTAACTAATTACTGATAGAAAGTTCATTTTGAATTTCTTTTCAATGTGCAGAGATGTATTTTGACAGAGGGAATTTTTATGACTTTACTTCCCTTGGTAATTGTGTATTCTTTCACTTCCATACTCTAGACGGTTGTAGTTAGCCTTTCATTTAATGCCGAATTACTTACAGCTGAGAACTACATTCTGTCTTTTGCAGTACGTGAGCTAGATGTTCCTGGAGAAATTTATGAAAGGAAAACATATCCATTTGAATTTTCTACTGTTGAAATGCCATATGAGACATACAATGGGGTGAATGTGAGACTTAGGTATCATATTTTGGAAGATACATGGGTCTCAGTTTTTATTCACGTGCTTTTGTAGTCTTTCTGAAATATATGCTTTGGAAATAATAGTTTGGGCTCTTGAATATGATATAATGTGATGTTTTTATGCATTTGCAATTTCCAGGTATGTCTTGAAAGTGACCATTAATCGTGGTTATGCAGGAAGCATAGTTGAGTACCAGGATTTTGTGGTAGGTTCTCTATCAGTCAAATAAAGTTTGTGATTTATGGTCTAGGATATCAAGTAGAATGTTATTTTATCAAATCACTTCATTTTGGTGAGAAAAAAAACTTACTGCATTTTGGGGATAAACTATAATGTTATGTTTGATGTAGCTGTGAAGATTGAAAACTTTTACATGGGTGTAGTATCCCCACACCCAAAAAAGTGTAAATGGTCATGTCACACCTATAATTTTCTTCCAATTGATACTTTTTTACTATCCCCACATCCAAAATACTTGCATATATCTGTATATGTTTTTTATTCCATTTCATCACTTACATTTAATTTTAATTTTTATCATCATTGGCCAGGTTCGCAACTATTCTCCACTCCCACAGATTAATAACAGCATCAAGGTGAGCTCAATAACATGCAGTCAAATTTCAGGGCTGTCTAGAAAATTCACTATCATCATATGAGCCGTGATAGTGATAATGATACATGCTCACTAATTTCCATCAATTAAACACAAAAACTGCCCTTGAGCAATAAAAAAGTGAAGTTGTATGATCATATCATTCATTTCCTGTCAATTACTCATTGATGAAGTATGTGCAGTGTAGACACGTTTAGTTATTTCCATGTGCTTTTCCTCATAACTTTGTTATTAGCTTCTTTTATTTCCTCATTATATATTTAGCAACGTGTTATACCTTGTACAGATGGAAGTTGGAATAGAAGATTGTCTGCATATTGAATTTGAGTACAACAAAAGCAAGTAAGTTGAATATTTTGATTGATAGTTTGACTGGAGGTTTTGTCTTCTTTTTATGTCTCCTTACAGTTTGAAATATGAAATTTACGCATTACTTTATCTTGCTTGCTTATAGTGGCCTCTTACTCTAACCTACCTGTTACTTAGTTTTACTATAAACAAGTAATGATCCTAGATAATTAGGCAGGTATGTGAACCAATGATATTTTTTGTCGAAATCATATACAGGTCTTATATATGAAGAGAATATTGTTCTCATCAGCTTATTCATATTTTATATGTGTAAGAACAAGAGACTTGTATATACTTATTGAGAATTTCAACTTTTCAGGTATCACTTGAAAGATGTTATCATTGGCAAGATATACTTCTTACTTGTCAGAATCAAGATAAAAAACATGGACCTTGAGATTAGACGCCGAGAATCCACAGGATCAGGGACCAACACCCATGTGGAGACAGAAACATTGGCTAAATTCGAGTTGATGGATGGTGCTCCTGTCAGAGGTAGGTTAACCTTGAAATTGGATGAGTAAACAAAATAAAACAGAAAGTTTAAGCTACCGCTCAAGTTTGCAAGCAAAGCAAATTAGTCAATGCTAATTTCTTTTTTGTTCTTAACCGTCCGATTCTCAGGGCATAGAGGCCCTGATAATCTAAAGTTTGTCCGAGAGGTATGTAATGTCTGGCTGTGTGAGTATATAGTATCTTTCTTCTGATACTGGCTAAGGGTTGTTCCGGCCAGAGATCAATATTGGATACTTTCAATCAATACAACATTAACTGAAACTCATTAACACCACTTGGTTAAGGCAGAAATTATCTGCCACTTGAGCCATGCCAATTTCTCTCAGAGACGCATTCTACAGCAGATGATTGTTACATAAAATGAATTTTACCTTTTAATATATGTTATGTAATGAGTAGGTGTCAACATTAGCAACTCTACTATTCATGGACAGCAATGAGTGCATCAAAATGAAATGAACAGTTAATACTATCATCAGCATGCTAACCCTGAAGTAAAAACTACTTCATAATGCACTGAATAATGCTTGATTGGTTTTACAGGTGAGTCAATACCGATCAGACTGTTCCTCAGTCCTTATGAGCTGACACCGACTCATCACAACATCAATAACAAATTCAGTGTGAAGTACTTCTTGAATCTTGTGTTGGTTGATGAAGAGGACAGACGGTATTTCAAGCAGCAGGAAATCACAATGTATAGGCTGGAGGAAACTTCATGAACAATTATCATACAGAGAATGCGTATTAGGTTTGTTGATGATAGTAATAAAGAAGATTGTGATGAACATTGAAGAACTCTCAAATACAGGAATCAGTCCGGGAATCCTGTTTTTTCTTGAGGTAAAATGGTTTGGTATTCAAACATGCTTGAAATTCAAGAGTTGCAATGATGTACATTGACTGATCTGTTATTCAATATCGAAGGAAGCATTTATTTCTGCGCTGGATCGTTTATATCCATGAAAATGTGTTACATATGTGGTTGAATATTAATTCTGATATTTTTAAGACTGGTTTCTGTTATCTGCATTGCACTACCTCATGAAACAATGATGTTTCTTTTTTCAATTATTTTGTACAAACAGGACACGTTGTTGGGCTCTTGTTTTATTTGTTTAAGAATTTACATCTTTTTCATTTCTTTTTAATATTTAAATTCTGTGAAGCACAAAGTACCAATACCGGTATGCGTATACATGCATTGTATGTACCAAGTTCATACCATCTTTTATTTATTTGATACTAACTTGTTGGTACACGATTGATAATCAGGTACCTACAAATAAGACTTACACTTTTGTTAATTTTATATAGACTTACACTTTTGGCCGCCTGCGCTGCTACTATGCTTCTAGATTTTAGGGTTTGATTTTATGAATTATTTACATATTTCAAATGTGATTTTTTTTCATGTTATTGATCTTGATTTTTTTGAACAAATTATTTTTTAATTCTAATGTTTTGTTATTATTTAAACAAGAGAAAAAAGAATATGTCAGGATAAAAATCAACAAGGCATTTGTATCATGTTAAGTTACATTTTTATTTTTAAAATATTAATATGACATAGCTGAATGTTGTAATTATACTAGATAGTGTAAAATTATGACACCGATGGTACACTATTTTTAATATCTTTAAATAATATATTTTATTCATATTACTTTTTAACAATATAATTATTTTATATATTATTTTTATAATTATATTAAAAAAATAATAGTAATGTTGTACCTTTTTTTTTAAATGATGTATTCCTTCCCGTATCTATACTAGGTATTTGGTACGTACTTACAATGCATTTTAATTTTTTTCAAAAACTTGAAATGAAGGGTTAAGATTCTGAATTTGATTTTTCAAAAACTTGAAATGAAGGGCTAATATTCCAATGAATTTGATTTGTCAATGGTTATTTTATTGGGATGTATGCATCAGTTATTAGCAACACTCTCCTAGAAGAGCAGAGCAGCCATGGCATAGTAGTTCGTCTCTTATTTGAGATTGCGACTGCTTTTTGGCCTGTAGCAGCTTACAGAACGTTTCCCAGTCTAGAGAGGTTTATAACTCACTATCTGTTTTGACTAGAAAAAAATCATATTTATCTATTGAAAAAAAATCATATTTATCTATAGAAAAATTAAAAATTTAACACTGTAAGGATGTTTCCGTAGTTTCGTTAAGTTTTTCCTAACTCATAAAACTTTTCAAATATTTGTTATTTATTATTGTCTGTCTTTTCAATTTCTTACATGTTTTTTTTACTTTTTCACGCGTTTTTTTCATTCTCATTGTCTTCTCACTTACTCATATATTTTTAACCTTTATTAAACGACAGTTAGAATCAGTTATTTCTTTTTTAGTTTATATTGAGCTTAGGTGCTTTGTTTAGTTTAGGCCCAATATATATATATATATATATATATATATATATATATATATATATATATATATATATATATATATATATATATATATATATATATATATATATATATAAATAAAAGTTTGGTTATTTTTGTATGATTAACACATTATTCATTCATTTAAGTTTAGGTTCAATGGATCATTCTTTCATAAACACTTTAGTGTAATGTGGTATTAAGAGATCAAATATTTTTTCTTTCATTTTCCTTCTTCCGTTCCAATTTGAACAAACTATTCTCCCGCCATTCATACTCTTCTTCTTCCTCCCAATACAACTTCCCTCCGTCTACATCACACTCCCACCACAATCATGGCCTTTGATTACGATTCTTATGACGCACACTTCACCATCAAAAAACCTACCAAAGAATCTCTGGAAGACCTTGCATCTAATCCAAGAAGTCCGTTTTACATACACTCCGGCGAAAACCCCGACGCTATCTTGTTGGCGCCGCCGCTAGATGACAACAATTACCATAACTGGAGCAAAGCTATGCGTTGCGCTCTCACTTCCAAGAACAAGGTTGGATTCATCAATGGATCCATCAACAAACCCACTACATCAGAGCCAAACTTCGAGCTATGGGATCGTACCAACAATATGGTTCTTCCTTGGATCACCAGAACTCTATCTTCTCACATTGCACGAAGTACAATTTGCATCGACTCTGCTATTTATCTTTGGGAAGATCTACGGGAACTCCTAACAAAAGGCAATCACTTTCGATTTTTCGATCTTCTTTGTGAGCTTCACTCCATTAAACAAGGTGACCGCACTCCTTCCAAATACTTCATTGACTTAAAAAATCTCTGGGATGAACTAGAGGACCTTTGACCAACACCTTCGTGTTTTTGACCTGTTCGATGTGTTTGTAATTTGGCTAAAGCTGTGCGTCATTACAAGCACATGGAATACATATCTCGCTTCCTAAAGGGACTCAACGACAAGTACCACAATATCCGCACTCAAATCTTGCTTTTGGACCATATTCCCTCATTGCTCAGCAAGAACTTCCTTCACCTCCACCCTCAGTTGCGACCCCCACCATTCTCTATGCAAATCACAGTTCCAACACTGGTCGTGGGTGCGGCAGAGGAAGCCTCAAGAACTCCAAGCTATGGACAAATTGCAGCAAAACCAACCATACCGTGGAAACTTGCTACTTCAAACATGGTTTTCCACCAAGTTATTGTACAAGAAACTCCAAGCCCTCTTCTGAATCCAAGACTGGTGACAATTCACCTAGGATGGTGTCATATCCAAGGAATACTACCAACACCTCCTTCATCTCCTTCAACAATCCAAGAAGGACAACTCCAAAGCGAAGACTAACGGACCTCCCTCCATGGAGAGTCACATAATTTCAGGTATCACAAACACATGTACATATTTACACTCCCTTCATTATGGATCCTTAATTCAGGAGCCTCTAACCATGTTTGCCCATTTATCAAGGGCTTTTCTACCATCTAATTAATTGACCCTGTTTACATTTAATTTCCCAATGGTAATCGTATTGTTGCTAATTTTTCTGGTACTATTACTTTTAATCAATGTCTTCATCTACATAATGTGTTATACATTCCAGAATTTAGATTTTTTCTCGTTTCTATCTCCAAACTATGCCATAATCCACATTTCAACATTACATTCTCACATAATTCCTGTTGCATTCAGGATGTGCATACCAAGAGGAAGATTGAACATGTAGCTCTTCATAACAATCTCTATATTCTTAACCCTTTTTGTTCTTCCACACAATCTATTACTTGTAACTCTGCTACTGTGCAGGATCAAACTACTTCTTCTGACCAATTAGATGTATGACACAATAGGTTAGACCATCCATCTAATGAGGCTTTACTTCATATGTGTCATAATTTTTCTTCAATCAAACACAATAAGAATTTACTTTGCAATGCTTGTCACTTAGCTAAACAATGCAAACTTCCTTTCCCTCTTAGTTCTTCCAAAACTTCCACATGTTTTGAATTGCTTCACATGGATATACGGGGCCCTATTTCTGTGCATTCTATAAATGACTTTAAATATTTTCTCACTATTGTAGATGATTATTCGCGTTATACATGAAAATTTCTCATGCATCAAAAATCTGAAACTATAACTCATGCAAAATTTCATTACCTATTGCGAAAACCAACTTTCATGCAAAATTAAAATAATTAGAAATGATAATGGCATTGAATTTACTATGTCCTCATACTATGCCTCTTTAGGCATCATACATCAAAGGAGTTGCATCGAGACACCACAACAAAACTCTATTGTAGAAAGAAAGCACATACACTTGCTTAATGTTTCTAGATCCCTCTTATTTCATGTCAAACTTCCTAAATTTGGTCCTTTGTCCTTTTCCATGCCACTTACTTGATAAACAGACTATGCAACCCCACCATTCAACACAACACACCCTATGAACTTCTCTTTCAAGAACCACTTTCATACACACACCTTAGAACCTTTGGGTGCCTTAATTATGCCACTAATATCACAAAACAAAGAGACAAACTTTACCCCAGGGGCACCAAGTGTATCTTCTTAGGCTTCCTTATTGGCATCAAAAGCTGCCTATTTTTTAACCTAAACACTAGAGCCATCACTATCTCTAGAAACAATGTGTTTTATGAACATATCTTCTCTTACATCACTTCTAGCAATGACACTCCTTCCCTTCCTTTCACTGATGACTTAAACCAAAACCTCACACTTTTATCTTTGATTTTCCCACTTCACCAACATCGCCAACACATCTCAGCCCACTAATCCTTCCCTTGCTAACACCCTATCCAATGATCCTGATTCATAATCCAACATCACCGACTTTGCACCATCCGTACATGACAACCCTATCACCCAACCAACCCAACACTCTGCTCACATCACTGACCCTGAACCAATTCCCACCTGCATATCTTCATGATTTTGTCTGCAATGCATATCATACTCCCATTTTGCATGATATTTCCAAATACATATCTTATCATAATACTTCCCCTGCATATTATTCCTTTATTTATGCTATTACCTCTGCTGCTGATCCAACTAGCTTCAAGCAAGCTAACACTCAACCACATTGGATTAAGGCCATGAATAATGAGATTCAAGCCTTAAAAGACAACAACACTTGGCAATTTACAACTCTCCCCCCAGGTAAGAAAGCCATAGGCTGCAAATGGGTGTATGAGACCAAATTCAATTCTGATGGTACAATTGAAAGACACAAGTCTCGTTTTGTTGCTAAAGGATTCACAGACGTTGAAGGTATTGATTTCT